AAACAAAAGAATCAACTAATGCAATTATGTATCCATTTTTTAAACAGTATTTAAATGTTATATAGCTTTAATTCTATTGATATTAAAACAAGTATAACAAGGAATATTGGTTTTACGGTTCCTTCTCAGCCTCAACTTTGGTCACATATGCTACCCTTACATTTTTGACGGGCTATACGTTAATACTTAATAAAAGCCCGGCATGGCCAGGTGGTTAGAACGCTCGACTCGCAATCTGCGGGTCGCATCCCCATCCCACCAAACATTCTCGCCCTTTCAGCCGTGGGGGCGTTATAATGTTACAGTCAATCCCACTATTCGTTGGTAAAAGAGTAGCCCAAGAGTTGGCGGTGGGTGGTGATGACTAGCTGCCTTCCCTCTAGTCTTACACTGCTAAATTAGGGACGGCTAGCGCAGATAGCCCTCGTGTAGCTTTGCGCGAAATTCAAAAAACAAACAACCTTAATAAAAGTTGGATATATTTATTTATATCTGCCTGGAAATCTCCTGAAGTTGAATAATTAGATTACTTAAATACAAATTATTGAAATTAAAAGTGATATTTATTCTAACAGCTAAAACTGATATTAAATTTTAAAGCTGTATTCAACTCAAAATTTGCTCATGGGTTTTGACACGCAATATCCCCATTTCTATAAGATATACTCACTTATCGATAAATGAAAAATAAATTGAAAACTTTCAAAATTTCATACATTAATCACATTTTTGAAGCATTAAATAACAGGAAGAGATAAGGTTTCCGGGCTTGTGGTGATGGAAATTACAATCACCAATGAACAGCAAAGTTCACATCAAAAATGAATTGCTTCAACTTCGGCCAATTCTCCCAACAGAATTGATTATGGCAACTACGATTAGCTTCCAAACCTTGTGTACTTTTCACACACAAACACGTTTTAAGACTTTTGGTCCAAAAGGGGAAAGTTTGAATTGAGTATGTAGTTTTCACACACATACATTTGAACTATTTTTCAATCCAAAAGGAAAGTTTTCACTTGGAATACTTGTGATATACCGAATTCTAATTTTATTTCGTTTACCATTAATTTATTATCCCTTCTATTGTGTAGTTCAAATATCAATTTTTGTTATATTAAAGCTCTAACTCATTTCCAGCTAGTGCACGTTGATTTTGAGTATGTTTATATTATGAAACCAACACAAACTTTCCCAAGTGGCGACGGATAGTTATTCATGCAGATTTATGGTAATATTTAGTCACATACGATGCAACCTTGTAATCGTGGTCTAACCTTAAATTAAAAGCCTTTCTTAATCTCGAAAACAAGTTAGTTCATGAGATATAGTTAGAACAAATTATTGCTCAATATTGTTCTTGATATTGAGAAGTGGTTTAATTTTGAAACATTGTGTTATTATTTAGTGAATTTGGTTTTTTTACTTCTCTGGTTTATTTTCCTAATTCCTTTGATATTTATTGAAATTTATGTTGTATTGTTTATTAATACTTGTACCCAGCCCTGGCCAGGCACTGGTTTATTAGTTTTTTTTCTGTAAGTGATAAAATTGTAGTTGTGAAAAAGTTTTATTTGGGATTTCTGTTCTTAATAAATTTTCAATAAATTCGAGATGGTGTATTTAAGTGTTTTACACTCACAAAAAATCAACAACAAAAAAACCTATCATTCTATAGGTATTTGAAGAACTTGTAGCACTCAGCCACAATTTGGTACCTGATGATGACAAAACCTTGTCGAAACATTGTAAATTTGCTGTTATGTTAAACTTATATTAAAGTTTTTCTTCATTACCCATTCAAGCCATCTCCAACCATTATTAGTCTCAAAATGGGTTCCTCGTCATCGAATTTGAACTTACTATTATATTATAAGACTCTCACAGCTGAAAAGGCATGTTCTGGGACAGGGAATCGAACTCGTGACCTGCAAATTGCAAGTGTCCCAACCACCAGGCCATGACATTGATTACGAGTTTCATCTTAACTATACTTTTTTTTTAATATTGTGATGACCTATGGATCACAAGGTATGTTTTTCGGGAAGTTTATTTAGATATATGAACCTGTACAAAAGTACCATTAAGCACAAAATTTTTTGGGATCACCTACAACTTAATTTTTTGCTTACTATTTCATAAAATTATAACTTTATCTACTTGTGATTTGTTTCCTATGTTTGAATGTTCTGATCTCTTGTTTAGCAGGTTTCATTCTCAGGTGACTTTCCAACAGTTTACCACAAAAGCATGGACAATGATGGCTCGAGACTTTACACACAAGCTACGTGTTATAATACTATCTTCTTGGTTGTTTTGTAACGTAACTTCTGTTGTAAGTGTGAAGTAATTTGTGTAACATTAGATGTAATATTCTGAAATTACAACCAGAAGACATTTTGGATAGTTTCACGATACTTTAGTATTTGAAAAAAAGATTTTCAACTATGAACTTAATTTCTAGAGCTATGCTGAAGTTACTTAGGAGTTAGGGGTGGGGAGTTGCCAAAATACCTTGATAACACCAACTACAAACAGCATGCTAATACATCATATCATTTGTTCAGATTCTTCCAAGCAGGAAAAAGTGAATGTGTGATTTATGTTGAAATATTCTACTTAAAGACTGAAGTTATTTTCAAAATATAATCACAATAATAAATTTTAGTTTATGTATGTCATATGGTTTGAGTTAGTTCATGAAGGCAATGCATGATGAGAAAAAAAAGTTTACTTTTTGTTTAGAAGTGCATATGAACTTGGAACCAATCAGGTCACTGTGGTGTAGTTTGGAACCAATCAGGTCACTGTGGTGTAGTTGGGGACCAATCAGGTTACTGTGGTGTAGTTTGGGACCAATGAGAAAATGCTCAAGAACAGAGAACAAAAACAGATTTTCCTTTATCTAATCTATTCATGGACTGTTGAATTAGATTTTATGGTTTCTAACAAAATCAGAGTTCCTGTAAGTCTTCAATAACTGAAACACTAATGTTAGCTTGTCAACCTACACTAAATCTCAAAGTTCTAATGTGCAGACATATATCTACTGTTAATCTTTAACTTCCAACACTGCACTTATTTCATTCAAAACTGTGTCTGATATGGCCTAGTGGTTAGCGTGCAAGGCTGAGGATCGGAAAGTTCAAGGATCAACCCCATAAGATACAACTGAACATGCTCTGCATTTTCACCTGTAAGGGTGCTATAAAAGTGACAAGAATAATTAGGGGTCAGCATCTTACTTACTAGAAAAAAACCAAAAAAAGCTCTTATTTGGTGCAAACTGTTAGTGATACTGAAAATTTTATTTCAAGTGAAAAAAGGATTTATATCCTTTTTACAGCATCAACAAAAGCATGAAATACATTATATATATATATATACTACAATATAACAGTTAAAAGAACATCTGACACAAGGTGGTAAAGTACACAAGACTGGTAAACTCCATGTAAAGGGACTTACAAATCAGAAGGAGCACCAAGAGTGCCATTTATTCTGAACCAAATCACTGGCCATCAAAATCAGATCAGATCAATTGTAGTTACTTTATGTGATGTCTTAGTTCTGATAAACAAGACAAACAAAATCTCAGGCATACAAGCTCACATGCACCTTGATCTACATGATGACAAGCTGATGTACAACTTGATCTACATGATGACAAGCTGACGTACAACTTGATCTACATGATGACAAGCTGATGTACAACTTGATCTACATGATGACAAGCTGACATGCACCTTGATCTACATGATGACAAGCTGACATGCACCTTGATCTACATGATGACAAGCTGACATGCACCTTGATCTACATGATGACAAGCTGACATGCACCTTGATCTACATGATGACAAGCTGATGTACAACTTGATCTACATGATGACAAGCTGATGTACAACTTGATCTACATGATGACAAGCTGATGTACAACTTGATCTACATGATGACAAGCTGACGTACAACTTGATCTACATGATGACAAGCTG